AAAATTTTCGATCTACCTTTGAAAATAATTACTTATATATTGACAGCTAAAATACAATTTACACAATTAAATTCAAAATTATTTAAAAAAAAAAAATTATAAAAAGTATCAATCTTATAACAATAACATAAATAATAAATAAATCTAAACTAGAAAGATATTAATCAATATCAAAAAGATTAAAGTATATGTAAAAAATAAAAATAATAAGAAAGTAGATAAATTAGTAAAAATAGAAAGAAAGTTAGAATATAAATAAATTATTGAAATTAATAGTTAACAGATAATAAGTATAAAATATATACTTCAATAATATAAGAATAATCTAGATATAAAAAATTAATAGATATATGAAACAATAGTAAAATAGCAAGTAAATAAATATATAGATTATATAGAGAAAATATAAAGCATAGCTCAAATTAAAAGATAAGAAAGAAATAGATTAAAAAAGATATAGGCTGGCTTGCTATTATTTAAAATTACTAGTTTCAATACTAATTAATAAGATTACAATAATAGTGTATTTAAATACCATGATAAAATAGATAATTTAATCTTATTTTACTTATTTTTTATTATATGTATCATAATTATTCATATTTATGCAATAAATATATACAATTTTATGAGGAAAAAAAATTTTTTTTTGTATCATACACATGGTAATTAGATACGAATAATTCTTTTAATTCATACGAATAATTAACTTTAAATATCGATTTAATTGACTACATATTTAAGTAAATCAATGTTTGTATTAATTAAGGTAGATTAAATCTTAACTGAATTATTAATAGTCTATTTTTAATAGTAGTATTTATTTATTTAATTATAATATATATATTTATTTATAGATTATATAGTATAGATTAGATAGTTTAAAAGATTCAAGCAATTCAAAAGATTTACAAAATCTATTATCTATGAAATTATGATATTACAACATATAAATCAAATAGTTTAGACAACTTAGATAACCTAGGTAGCCTATAATAGAAAATATTATATAAGTAGTTGCTATCTATATAATTTTTAATTAGTTTAAAATAATTTACTTTTATAATTATCTGAATCTTTGATTTAATATTTTAATAAAATACTGTTACTTTATTAAATATATTTTGATTGCAAAGATTTATTGAGAAATTTTTGTTATATCTAGGGCTCCTAATGGTATTATTTTAATACCTGTTTAATATTAGTCAATATTTAAATTTACTATAAATTTATATAAGTGAATTATAATCCATATATTAAATTTACTATAGATTGATATTATTTTGATATTACTTCAGTACTGGTTCAATACTTTTCAGAGCCCTAGTTATATTTTGTAATATCTGAGAAAGATTATTTTTGAAACAACAGATTGTTTTATATAATCTCTAATTTTTTTTAAAAACTATTACTTGAGCATTGATCAAATTAATTTTAATTACAATACAAATTCTTAAATAATAAACTATCAATAAAAATAAATTAAGTACAAGAATGTTAGACTTGTATAAGAATAATAATTGTTCCTGATGCAATTAACAAAAAAACATAAAGTATATTTTTATTAAATATTATAATAATCAAATCAAATTAAAATATTTTAATATTTTAAAAAGAAAATATAAAATAGAATAGATAAAGAAAAAAAAAAACACAATTGATACAATCAATTGTAACTTATTATTAATTAATTAGAAAAAATCCTAAGACATATAATTATAACAAGGATTTAATAAAGCTAATTAAATATTTAAATAAATAAAAATAAAAGATATACTCAAAAAAGTTATAAATAGAATAATGGAAATACTTTATAAAATCTGAATACAAATATATAAATAGTTTCAATATTGAACAAAAAATATAAATATTAACAGAAGGAAATAATAAAAAAATAATAAAATAAAATAAATTAATTAATTTATAATATCTTTAAATTCATAAGAAAAATTAATAAATAATAAAAAATATTAATAATATAATAGAAACTACTAGAAAACTGATTAGACCAGAAAAAGAATATAATTAATTTTTATTTTAATTTTTATTTTCATATAATAACAATACTAATAAAATTTTGATATATTAATCTAATATATTATATATCTAAAGATAAATTAATAATAATTATATATGTAATAGAAATTCATAGATTCTTGATACAATTGATACAATTATTTGATACAATTAATTGAGTCATTAATAAAACATATAAAATAATTGAATCAGATGTAATTATTTTTGAAGATTTTAATAATTGAATCAATAATAAAATAATTTAAATAATATATATAATAATAATAAGCCAATATAAAAGAAATTTGATATAGTTTAATATGTATCTAGAATATCTTATAGATAGTAATTCTTGTACAAGAAATACAAATGTAAACTAAATAAAATATGTTAGACAAGGCCTGGTTAGTTGAAAAAAAAATATTAATCTAATTATAGAAAAACAAAACAAAATAAAATATTTGTTTTTTTAATTTAAATTTAAAAATTTTATATTAAGTATAGTTTTTTAATTAAACCAATTTACAATTATAAAAAATTATAAATACTGGATAAATTACTCAAATAAAAATGTGCAAAAGAAAAAAAAGAAAAAAAAGAAAAAAAATTAATTATTTTTGTTCAAATAATTTTGATCACCACCATATATAAAAAATTATTTCTGATCATTTAATCACATGACTATGGGCTATTATAAAGAATGTTGATTCTCGAGAAATCTGAGCAATAAGCCAATAAGCGAAATCATGATTTACAACATGTATATCTTTGACCGCCATTGTGCGTGTATTTTTTATATTGATTGGAATCGACACAGAAAGATTGGTGGCACTGGAAGTGGTGGAAATAGTAGTGCCGTTGGCACTGCAAGCACAACTACAAGTATGAATGGTCAACAAGACATCGATTCGGTAGGATCCTCACCAGTTCATAGTGTGGCAACTAACCACCTTACGAGCCATCACTCTACAGCGTCACAATTAACGAGTACCACAAGCATGTTTTCCGACAGTCGGTTGGTTAACATTGAGGAAGAAGCTAAATTAGTATACGGTGTCATATTATCTCTAAAAAACTTTGTCAAAAAATTAAGCGGAAGGCAAGTATTAATTTGAAGTTCACAAAGATGGAAAGAATTGAATTCGTTATTGTTTAATTGTTGTTAATTACTTATTTTGTAAAATTTTATAGTCAAGATGGATTTTTAACATACCGTACATCAAATTACAAGCTTCATTATTATGAAACTCCATCGGGATTGAAATTTGTCATGAATACCGACACTACAGTTGATTCCCTTCGACCTGTTTTACGACAAATATATACAAACTTTTATGTAGAGTATGTTATAAAAAATCCTTTATCACCCGCCGAGCACCCTGGAGGTGAAGGTGTCAACAATGATTACTTTAAAGCTGCCGTTGATAAATTTGTCAAAAGCTTGGCGGTCTTCGACACATAAAAAATAAGATATTATAATATGATCCCTTATAATTTTGTTATTTTTTAGTCAATTTCATATAATTAATATTAATATTCTATGTAGAAGTTTTCTACGAGTATATGATCAAAAGATTCTTATGGGATCAATGTAACGATCGTTACATCTAATGTGTAAACTATAAATAATCATGGGCAAATTATAACAAGAATGCCATAAATAAAGATGTATATTCTCCATTATTAGATGGTTGCAAAAAATTAATATCTTAGAAATATTAATTATTTTATTTATCTACATTCTAGTTATAAATACAATATCATTTAAATACTTAAATGCAGTTAATTTAATTAAGTTGTTTATTATCAATTTTTAAATCAAGATTTTATTTTCGTATTATGATTATAATACAGTATCTATTACATATTTCATTTCATTTTTTTTTAAATGCTTGCTTGATTCGAAAATAGTGAATATTACATATAAAGTGATTATTATAAGAAATGATAATTATGTATTTGATTCTATTTAATATATAATTTTTTTTTATAATAAAAAATTTTTATATATAAAAACATATATAAAAAAGTTAAATTTTATGAAATCAAGTTATAAAATCAATATTTAATATATAATTTTTACTTAAAAATTATTATTAAAAAAAATTAATAATATAATCTATAAACTAGTTATAAGTAAAAATTATTTTATAGTGTTCAAGTATTTATATTAAGTTACATATATTAAAAAAATTTAAAAAAATTTTGGATACTAATGTATATATGATTAGCTTATAAAACAGCATAGATTTCTTTGAGAAATAATAATTGAAAGTATAAAATATAATGTTTCAATTTTTGGAAAAGGTTATCAGAATATAATTAACAATAATATTATTGCTATTAAGATAATAGCATAAAAAAAATTACAAAAAATAGTAAAATACTATAGAAACCTATATAAAGTTTTGAATTTTTAATTAAATTTGACAAAGATAAGATATTTTTGAAGAACAATTAATATTTGCTATATTAATATATTAAACTTTACTTAATTTTAATAATAAAAGCATTCAAATAAATAAATAATAATGAAAAACAAATATAAAAAAATAAAATAAATTATAAAATCTTAAAAACTTTAAAAAAAACAAATCAATAAATATATACAATATATAAAAATTTATAAAAAAAAAATTTATAAAAAGTTCTTCTAAAAGCAAAAATCAACAAAAAAATTAAAAGTAATAAAAACTTAAGATATTATAAAGAAATATAAAAATTATAAAATTATAAAAAACTAATTAATAAATATATCTTTAAGTAAAAAAGTTTTAATAATAAATAAAAATACAAAATTAAATAAATAAAATTATATAAATTTGAATAAATTTTAGTAAAATATAATCAGTGAATCAATAGTATAGTGAATAGTACTTTCTGATTTCCAAATACATATCTCTAGTTTAATATTCACAGAAGGTAAAATGTATAAAAATTTATTTTTTACTTGTGAATTTTATCAAATTTTCACAAATATTATATCCAAATATCTAAATCTTAATCAAATTCAGTTAAGCTGTATAAAGATGAAACCTTTGATCTTTCTGATGATCTTGAGCTAAAAACAGATCAAAGCAGAAAAGATTGCATAAGAAAAGACTTTTGGTCTAACTAAAGATGGGTCCCTAAAGTATTTAGCATATAAAATTTACGTCCCTTTACGTCCACGTCCCCTAGAGGACATAATTCCTAGCTCTTTATTTCAATAGGGACATAATTCCAGAAATGATTTGTATAGATGCTTAAAACTATAAAGAACCTTTGTAGGTAGTTTTTTTTTATTTTTTAATATAGAAATGAAAATTTTTAATAATAAGGGACATTTGAATTATATCCTCACAAATAATTTAGGAACCCATCTTTAGGTCTAACTTCAATAAAAACTCCATTATATCTCTTATTATTAGGAAATAAGTTAACTTGAAAGAAATTATTAATATGGATATTATCTTTGGATAAATTATATCTAGTCTAAAGGATTCCTCTGTAGGAGTTATGTCTTACTTGATATTTATACTCCTAGATTTGGTAGCCAAAGCCAATTGAACTTTATTTCTTGAAATATCTACTAGGAAATAATAAGAATCACATCCTACTTGATATTTATACTTCTAGATTTGATAGTTTGTATTAATCAAGAAAGATAAGTTTTCGAAACACTTACTAGAAAATACAAATATCTGGGTACTCCTTGATTCCAAAGGCTGGTAAGCCAAAAACATGATATAAAATATGACTTATCAAATAATAATATAAGTTCCATAAGTAAAGACGAGTCCCTAAATTATTTGATATATAAAATTTCACAAATTAATTATATCTCTTTTGAAAAGACAATTATTTATTTATTATTTTAATAGAAACATAATTCAAAAAAGATTTGAATCAAATAGTCTAAATTATAAAAAATCTTTATAATAGTTTTTTTTGATCTTATATTTAAAAAAAAACTTTTTTAATAATAAGAGACATTTAAATTATATCCTTGCTTTTAATTTAGGAACCTATCTTTAAGTACAAATCTATCTGTCCAATGACAAACAAAAAAATTTAAAAATTTAAAAAAAATTTATATTATAATTAAAGATGGGTCCCTAAAGTATTTAGCATATAAAATTTACGTCCCTTTACGTTCACATCCCCTAGAGGACATAATTTCTAGCTCTTTACTTCAATAGGGACATAATTCCAGAAATGATTTGTATAGATGCTTAAAACTATAAAGAACCTTTGTAGGTAGTTTTTTTTATTCCTTAATATAGAAATAAAAATTTTTAATAGTAAGGGACATTTGAATTATGTCCTTATAAATAATTTAGGGACCCATCTTTAATTATAATATAAAATAAAATCTATTAATAATATTAAATCATAATCATAAGAGATTTTAATACAACAATAAATTCAAGATATGATTGAAAAATCCTTATATTCAACAACAAATTTTTTCCTTAAAATACTTCAAAACATATATAGTATATAGTCATATTACCATAAAAGAAAATTTGATCGACAATATGATTCTGAATTAAATACGAATTCCAATTATTTACTATATGTTACTTAGTAATTCTAACATAATACAGTTTTTTGAAAAATGGTAGAATTCAATTTCACCACATGTATATTTCAGAAATCAACTTTTTTTACCATCTTTTAGACCTAAATCTTATTAATCTTTATTAACTATGAAAAAATAATAAAACAATATATATCTGGAAAAACTATAGAAGTTTAAGTAGAATCAATTATATTTGGAGTATATCACTTATTGCTAACAACCTAATTAGCTTCATCAATCATAATTTTATAGAAATTACAAATAGTAATTATATCATATTAGAATTTTATATATTTTGAAATATATTCTTGTATGGTTTTAAACTCCAAAGTTATCAAATAAAACATTATTATAAAAAAATAATTAATTTAAATGATATTGTCAAATAGCAATAGGAAAAATTTAAAGACAAAATCAAAGAAAAGATTTTTAAGTATAGATTGTAAGAAAGTACAATAAAACTTAACAAGTTAGAAACTATAGATACTTTTCAAATTAACCAAATTCAAAATATTTAAAACTATTCAAAAGAATCATCATTTTTATAGCTTTTAACAAGCTATATACAACTAAGATAATTCCAAATGATACTTATAGAAATAGAAATAATATAGTAAACAGAAAAAAAAAACTCTTGCTTAATATTTATAAGCAGTTATATAAAATATACAAGTAACAAAAAAACTGTTTACAGGTCTTATATCAATAGAAATATTATAGTAAATTGAAAATCTAACAAATTAAATTAATTCAATAGCAAGATTAGAATTATAAATGCTAGTCAAAACACTTTACCAAAACCTTAAAACAAGTATCACTTATTTAGATTAAATAAAAAATTATATTATTATATTATAAGTTTTAGATGTCAAGAATAATAATAATTAAATATAAGAAGAGTTTAAAAGAAAAATATAAGGTTTGATATAGAATCCTTGTAACATAAGACTTTATATTCAAGTTATTAGGGCTTTTTAAAAATTCCTTTATTAAATAAATCCTTTAAGCTTTTATAAATAATTAGAATATCATTTAACTAGCTTTAAACACTCAATAGTAAAATGAACCATTTTCATTATATTAATTATAATATATTGCTGCTTAACAATTCAATGGCAATTAGCACTGCAAGAACTGTCCTCCTTATACAATAATAATATACAAGCCTGCCAAAATATTTATTCCAATTAATTTATAAAAATAAAAGAATTTATTAACAAAGAATTATTAAATTAATATTAAAATTTAAAGATAATTTTATTAAAGGAATTAGGAAAGAAATAAAGGTCAAATAATATAATTATAAAGGTAAAGAAAGTTGAAGTAATGTCTTTTTTAACCAGAAGGGCGAAATGGCCATTCTTATATACAGTTTGAAGTTGTATGATTATCCTTTTCTTGTATATTAAAGATATTCCTTTACAAATTCATTTTTTATTTTGGAATGAATATCACTAAATTACTAACGATCCTATTATGTAAATAACCTTAATGACTATAAGTAACTATATTCCCTACGTGATTTTACCTATAGTTTTATAGAGCGACTTTAACTATTTAATTAATAAAATATTAAGATATTTCGTCTCAAAGATTGTTTGCCATATAAAATCTATAGAAATTCAAAGGATTTTCACAATTGTCAATCACGTGGTCATGTGATCTCCAACATTCAACTTTCTTGAATTATTACATTATTCCTTCCTATAAATAATATTTTCAGTAATATTTTCATAAAATAATAATAAAATAATGTTAAAAGAAGATAAAATAATAATATAAAAATATATAAAAATAATATAATATTATGGAATTTAATTATTATATAACAATATTCAGGAACTTAAGCAAGTAATTAAAAAAAAATATATATATATAAAAAGAAAGTGAATTAATTA